GGAGAGAAGGTTTCCGCGCTCCAACAAGACTGCTTCCAATCGGCGACTAGAAAGGACCTCGGATTAAGCCAGCCTTTCATAGAGGCTATTAACATGTTCGTGCAGGTCCAATTCACATGTTCGCGCAGGTCCAATTCACATGTTCGCGCAAGGGTAATTCACAGATACGCATGGAGCGCTCGCCTTTTGTCAACGGTTGGTTCTATTAGCTTACGTTATAGTTGAAGGTTCCAACAGAGAAAGGTTGAACATTGGTAATGTTACAACAAAGGCATTGCTGTGCAGTTTTTAAGCATCCCATGCAAACAAACCAAGACAAACTTTGCAGTACTATTTTTGCTGGTGAAATGTGCCATTCTTTTTATTACACAACTTGCTGCGGAGCGGTGCGTTACCCTCCTATGACCAGTGAGATCAACCCGCCACCAAACAACATGGCGCCTTGGCGGCACTTTTTTTATCTGTCCACGTCCCCCAGCAATATCGCTTAGCTTGCGGGTTCCTGTGGTAGTGATCTGTTTAAAGTTGTTTTTCGTAGCAGCAATGACTACGGGATTTTGTTGAGTGGATAGGGCTCGGTTTTCGGGAATGGTTGGCGTTCTACCGACGGGTTGATCGGCGACAGCTAGAAAGTTGCAAGTTTCGGCTCGTCGAGGAATGGGGCGTGAACACCTCCCTGCACTGGTGGCGTTTATTGCGGGAAGTTCACACATCCATGCCAATCGCTCCTAAGTGTTTTTTGATAGCCCTTTCTAGTCGCCGATTGGAAGCAGTCTTGTTGGAGCGCGGAAACCTTCTCTCCGTGGCAAAAGTCCCTCGGCAGCAAATCGTCCCTCGCGGCGGCATATTACTTGCGTCGCTCACAGAAAAAATTACGCCCACGCCCAACAAGACTGCGAAGGAGGCTAGTCCTCTCTAACAAAACTCTGAACCACTCCCATTTCTTAAACTAATGTGAATACCCTTGTCCTTAACAGCTAGTTCCCAGGAGAGGAGTGAGGACCTGCAGGGTTTCGGCTATAATGTCCAGATGGTCGGCAACAGGATTGAGCTGAAGTCGGACCCCTCTCCGCAGCCCGCACCTGTCGTGCCCAAACCTGCCATCCAGACCAGGCTGCTGAAACACTTTGCGGAGGGGCCGCCCGTCATGGACGAGACCATCTGTCCGAGTCGGGTGGACCTGCCCAGGAGTGACCGCCACCTGAGGGGCAACTGGCAGGCCTACTGGGACTATGAAATAGGTGAAATAACCTTCACCCTGCTACCTAACCTGAGAAATTTGTTGCCAAACAGCTACCTTCGCATGCTGGAGGTTAAAAGAGCTCAGTAGTTTTTAGGATGATTTTCATAGTGAATGCCTGCCACATTGCATGACATCATGTTCAAGTTTTGCCCATAACAGGAAGTGTGTATAATATGTAATTTG